TTTGGGAAACTTATTCTGTTCCCTTTCTAATCTGTTGATAGGATCCCATTTGGTGTTGCAGTATTACATAATGCTTCTAATCATAGCATTGAAAAATAGTAATCGGGTTTAATTTCTATAGCAGATATTTGGTAAACTTATTGTGTAACTTTTCTAATCTGTTGGTATGACTGCATAACTAGGATCCCATATGGTGCTGCAGTATTCCATAATGCGTTTAATCATAGCATTGAAAAGAATTAATATAGCTTTAGTGTCGTTATTGTGTTTGGCGTGCGTTTTTAGAAAACCTAGGAATCTGAAGCATTTTAAAGTTAATGTGAATGTTAAATGTGAGGTCAAATAAAAATAATAGAATCCGCTTCACGACCCTAGATAATATAATAGCAGATAGGCCACCACTGCATAAAGTTATACAATATTAATACCGCTATCATATAATCAGTATCTCTCTTTCTAATGAAGGCTTTCTCACTCGTTTTAGAATTCTCAGCAGTAGCGTACCGTAAAACAATTTCGCTGGGTCATTTTAAATGCGAAAATGTTGACCAAATAGAACATGAAATAAAATGTTTTAAAAGGTAGGTAGGTGCATTTTTAATGAAGTGAAAACAAAATATGACTTTTTTGTTATGAATATAATATTAATAACAATTACTTTTAACACCACAACACGGAACAAATTTAAATTAAACACTGGAATAATTGTCTGAGAAAAGCTTTGTAAAACTGACAAATACAAAAAAAGAGATAGAGATATTAATCTATTTCTCTCTAATTAGAATTCTCGACCATATTATCATGGCGACACAAAACATTGTTTACTGTCCTCTCTTTACTACTTACTTACTCTGAGTTCACGACAGAAGGATCCACCTGAAGTTGCAGTCGTATGCGCGAACATGTCATAACCAGCGCCATATTATAAATTTGATGTTTGACTTCAAATCAGTAGCGTAACCATTTCAAATTTAATTCTTAAATAAATTGCAAGAAATGTTGAAATAAAAAAATGCAATTTGCAAATCCTTTATAGACTATTGAATATGTAATATAGAAAGGAATGATCACTTTTATGGGTTGTTATGACATAAATCATTTAAATGGTCAATAAATATTCTATTGAATTAGCGGGTGGAAATTGGAGATAGGAATGAAAATGCAATCCTTAGAGTTTTTAATTATATCTCGGAAACGAAGCAAAATGCAGGTATAGTAAATACGAAATTTTTTGTAAATGCAATTTCATATCGAATTATTTATTTAAAATTTTTTTTAGGGAAAAATTATAAGAAAAAATAATTTTTTTTTCTTTGGTGTACGGCTTCAACATCTAAGGTCATTAGCCTAATGTTCTATGTAGGTTATGGATTGTACTAGTAGTCTAGTACTCCATAGTGCAGGAGTATTAGTACTCTAATACTCCTACACCCCTACAGACAGGCCTTGTTAATGTTTCCTTGCGCCACTTTAGGAACAGCACTGTTAATTAGAACCCAACAGTGAATGGTCGGGTGGGGAATCCTACCAAGGCATCAGAATTAATTTTAAATAATTAAATTAAATAAAAAAATCCCGGCCAACGGTGGGATTCGAAAAAGAATTAAATAGCAAAAGATTCATTTCTTTTACTTTTTTGCTTATAATTGCTTTCTGAGTAGAGGTAGGTGCAGGCATTGCTTCATACTACATAAAGTATATTAAATTTCCTTTAAAATATTGGGTTATATATATAAAGAAATTTAAGATTTTTTGTTTATTGACTTTAGTGATATATCGATTTTAAAATCATCAATTTGAGGCAATACATAAAATTTGAAATATGTTTGTCTATAATCTTTTGAGATTGGCTTCTTCAAACCTTTTCCTGGTATATCATACCATCCCTTAGATTGCACATGTGAGCTGTGGATGTATGTTTCATCAGTATATATAATATTTCAGCCTTCATTTCTGTATTTATTTTCTAAGAAAGTAATTTTTTTGAGGCGAATATCATAGAATTCCATAATCATCTTTCTGTTATCTTGTGTGCGCTGCCATCTACAATTAAGGCATTATTTTTAATTAAATAATTATGCATGTTACTTAATAATATTTTTAATGTCACATTGTCTATTCTAGTCCTATATTATTTTTTCTTTCTTCTAAAAGTAAACTTCTACTTCAAAAACTACTTAAGTAAACCCCATACTTTTTAGCAGCCTCCATAAAGATAAAGAAGTTTTACTTTCTGTAAATTCAGGTAGAACAGTTTGTACTTTGTGAAGAATACCTAGAAAAATATATATTCCTTAAGAAAAAACTTCTTTTCTATAAAAATTATTAAAATACTTTCGATCCTAAATTTTTTTTACAGTTAACAGTGAACTGACAGACGTTTCTTTTAAAGATTTGTATCTATCTGTCAATGGTACAATATAAAAAACCTGATTTCAGACACTTAATACAAAAATAACTTTTATTTCTATTAAACTTAATTTTAAACTAGGAGCCCTTTTCTGCAGGATGTAAAATCATAAACGATCTCCCGAATCCTTTTCAGTTCTCCAAGTTTTAGTGCTTCCAGTACTGATTTTTTCCTCAGCCTCTTTTTTCGAGGAAATCCAAACAAAGTAGATGCTCCTCTTTCAATAGCTATGGCTTTCTTTTTAATTCTGATGTAAGTACTTTACTCGCTTTTAGAGTTTGCTCTCTGCAATTTAAAAATGTAGGTATTAAAAATCAGCAATATTTACATTGTATGGTTGTGGAAATACTAGTCGCTAAACAAGTTAGTTGCTAACTGATACAATGTCCCGTTTGAAATTAAATTATGGCTAAAAACAAATAAGATCACATTTCAATAAAATGATATATAGGTAGTAATAAATATATGTATTTTATCAATCAGTATATATATTTTACGAATTAAAGAAATGTAACACTATAAGCTTTTCTTGCAAATATACCAAGACACATAGTTTTTCATTGTATAAAATAACAAATATTTTCTTTACAGTCAAAATCATATAAGTCAAATACTTTTTAGTAAAATTCAATTATTTTTAAATTAAAATACTACTTTTTGTAAAGGAATTTGAATTCCATCTGCAGCTTCGGTTTGCATAAAAGAGGCGACATTTTTTATAATCTGCCGACTTTGACTATGGACAATTTTTCCTTTTAAACCAATAAGTTTTTTAGGAGGCATGGTTTTATAGATTAAATAAAACACACAACACTCACTTACAAACGTCTTAAAATAATCGAAAATCAAAAATATTTAACAAATAGGCGATTCCAAAAACATAACCTTAAATGTCAAACGCTAACGTCGTTAACAAATAAATAAATGGTTATGCGCTAGTTCAGTGATGATAATTAGAGTGACAGTAGATTTTTTGAGTGCGTTTTGTTTACCTAAATTATATCGTTTTTTTTTTTTTCACTTTTATATATTCCTAAAGTAAGTAGATAGCATACAATCGTTTAGTTACCAATTACATACCTTTAAACTATTTTTTATGACCTGTAAACAATATTTTGAAATAAAATCAAAACAAAAAAACGTATAATTTATTGATGTTTTTGTTAAAAGTTTGGTTAGAATTAAATGTCAGTGGAACCAAAATGACATCACACTGAACTAGCGCATTGGCATAAAAATGTTCGTTCTACGCTAGTGGCGTGACCCTGTCGTTATTAAAGGCCGATTCTACCATTGTGTTTTTTTTTTCTGGTAGGGTGGGAATCAATCCATTACAGACACCAGGGTATCTATTCTTGAATCTCAGGGAGTAGAAATTTTGAGGGAAGAATGAGATAAAAATACAAATTTTGCGCGTTGCAGATAAAGAGGCAAAACCGGTTTTCTATTCCCTCGAATTCAAGAATAGCTACCCAGGCATGTGGTTCTGCCCGTACCTGGTAGTGTGGGACTCTCGGCTGAAGGGTGTAAGGCCGGTATACCCACTAAAACCACCCTTAAAGCGTTGTGGGTCTTTTTGGAACTACCTGCTGGTATTACTTCAAGAATCTACCGTTGTGTTAAACGAAGTATAAATTACTAAACGAAGATTAAAAAGACATTTTTACAATATCAATGTCATTTTAATCTTCGTTTAGTAATTTAAACTTCGTTTAAAACGGTGGAATTGGCCCTAAGCGACGTAGGTAAACAAGACATAATTTGGTTTTTGCGACTGTCATTGTTGCAACTTCAGCTGGGTTCGTCTCTCGTGAAACGGAACCTATCAAGCTATTCTTATGAATATAAAATACATGACAGTGATATTAAAAGAGTATGTGGAATAAGATATCTTGGAATATTACTTGACTCTAAGTTTACTTTTAAAACTCATAACGAAAACATCTGGGTTTTATTTAAAAAAATAGCTAATATATCTCTATTAATAATATCAGACTCATGTTTTTATCTTTGTCAGGTCATTTTACGAATGTGTGGTAGTGTGAATAAAAATTAAGGAATTTAAAAAATAGTTTTTATACCTTTTCACGTAAATTTCTATCTTTTTTTCATATCTGACTTGCGGACAGAAAACCCCAAAATAGTTCGTTTTTCTTATTATACCTTGTGACGTAAATGTCATTTTTTTTTAAATTTGACAATTTCTTGTGGTCAAATATACCTAATTTGAGATGTAAGAAATATAAAAAATAAATGTTTCAACATTAAATTGACAGTCAAAAAAGTTATACCTTATGACGTAAGTTTCGAGGCAGCAACTCCCGATCCAAGCGTTTTAAAATACCCAAAAATTGCAAATATTCTACAAATACAACCTCAAACTTCAAATACAAATAAAAAGATGTCATTGACATTGACAAACGTCTATGAATTATTAATTCTGGCGCGTCACTGAAGTGACTGTCGTCACCTGTGGCGCCGCTGTACTATTCCTTAATAACGGATTGGTGTCGTATGATGTTATATGAATTGTTTTTTATTAATATATCACTTACATAGGCATAAATTTTAAATAAAGATGTTCTTTTAGGCGAACGCAAGGACGACATGATTGCGAAATGGGAAGAAAAATCTAGAGAATTTATCGAAAATTTCTTGTTGCTCTTCGGTAGAGAAAGGCTGTCAAATATTTGGAACGAGAGCAAAGGAAAAATCCTAAGTGCTTTGAGCCCTCCGGGTTCGCCCCAACGACCAGGCAGTCCATCTTCGAGTACAGAAGATTTAGATTTACTCTCTGAAGACGGTATGCCACCATTCAAGTCGCCCAGATTCGAATCTCCATCCCCCTCCTCGTCGTCTACGTCGAAAAACTTCTTTAGTGTCGAAGATTATAGTGATGAAGAGGACTTTTCATTGCCAATGAAGAATGGAAAATTATAATGAACGATGGTAACTTTGTTGTTTGAAATTGTTAGTGCTTAATAATACAAAGCAATGTTATTTATGTTATAAATAATAACGAAAGATAAATTATTGAAGTGTAACTATTTTATTATAGCACAATTTTTATTTATTGTTATATATATATTGGGTTTTGCTATACTTTTATATTTATACACATTATACATAACTTTAGTTTGGTTGAATGATGTTTGTTATTTATTTATTTTATTATCGCGTGATTTGAAAGTGCTTATTATGTTTAGTTCGCGGACACGAATAAAAAAACCACATTCTTTGAAAGTTGTCACCATTTTTATACTGCATACCTACGTTTAGGGCGCCATCTTCAAAAGATGACATGTAACAAATTGTATTTTCTTACGTCCTAACTGTTTTTATTAATGTCTTTCTTTATAACATATTTTCAGATTAAACTTTAGTTCAATTACGATTAAAAAATTTATTTATTCTTACTATTTGTAAAACGTTTTTTATTTTTCATTCCATTTGTGTTCCACATTATTTGTAGATATTTAGGTAACCTAGATATAATTTTTTTGAAAATTTCCATAATAGCCTATTCTAACAAGAACAAGAAAATTAGGGGAAATTTTGGTCGAATGCTTTTTCTGGAAAAACTTTGCTTAAAAAGGGAGATAGAGCAGAAAGACTTTAAGGCGAAAGTTTAATTACGTTTAATTTTATTTCCTAATACATTTGAAAAAATAAAGAGCTAAGATTTGGTAGACATTTTTAAAATAAATCAGAGCAGTTGCTGATGCCAATATAAATAATTTCACTTTAAGAATAATAAACAAGTTAAAAAAAAATTAATATAATTTTCTCAAAGAGTCAAGCAAATACTCTATTGATAATCAAATACAATCATGTTGAAACCAATTCTCAAATCAATGTAATAAGGGAGAAAATTGAGGCATAAAATACAAGCTAAATTTTCAAATATACGCGGCAAACCCTGCTTTACCAACATTTTAGTTCAGGTACTCATCGATAAATCGAAAAACAAGCAAGTCGAATCGTTTCAAACATTCAACGCATGCACTGTATTTGGAATATAGTTTTTATTGTTTAAAGTGCAAACAGAAGACGAACTAATGTGGGGTATCAAATACACAGGGAATTAAATAGTGGCAATATTAACAATTCGTTATTCGCTTGGCTTTTGCACGCTGTATTTATAAAACTAAATCTACGTCCACATGCCCAGACAACACACCAAATCCCAGAGATATCCACAGAATATCTTTTGTAGATATCCAATATATCCACAGGATATCAGAAATATTCCGTAGATCTAATATGAATATCCAAATGTGCGTCTATATCCAGAATATAGAAGATATCCTATGGATTATCCAGCAAAATATCTAATAGGTATCTTCCAGACAATACAAGAAATTCCAGAGATATCCACAGAATATATTTTGTGGATATCCAATATGGATATCCAACCAAATGTCCGTCTATATCCCAGGATATAGAAGATATTCGGATATTCAGTAAAATATTTTATGGGTATCTTTAGTAGAGGTTCATAAGTAACCAATGATTATTGAATAACGTCGAAAGAAAATAGCAGAGATAGAAAATATTTTGTCCACGACCACTTAATAATAAATCAATATTCTACCTCCTAACTAAAAGCATATAGTACCCATATATCACGGAGTGAATTATGATAATTCACGCTTTTGTAATTCTGGCACATTCCGGTAGATAACTAAAGATAGGCGATACTTTTCATAACGATATTTTCTAGATCGAAAAATCGAAAAGTGGAAAAAACAACAGTTAGTTACCTATGTTTACTCAGTTACGGCGGGTTGAGCATAAGTAGATGCGAAAGTGGTATCGCCATCTATACTTAGTAAGCAAAATCAAAAATTTCATCTAGTGGATATCCACGATGGTTTACGTTCGCGCCTAGACTTTGGATATCCATGGGATATGCGCTAGTTCAGTGTGATGTGATTTTGGTTCCACTGACATTTAATTCTAACCAAACTTTTAACAAAAACATCAATAAATTTGACATATACGTTTTTACTGTTTTTATTTTATTTCAAAATATTGTTTACAGGTCATAAAAAATAGTGGCCATCTTCAACACACATTGATTTGGAGTTGTTTTATTTTCTCATAAAAAATAGTTTAAAGGTATGTAATTGGTAACTAAACGATTGTATATTTGATACATGCTATCTACTTACTTTAGGAATATATTTATAAAAGTGAAAAAAAAACCATATAATTTAGGTAAACAAAACGCACTCAAAAAATCTACTGCAACTTTAATTGTCAGTGGAACCATAATTACATCATCACTGAACGGTAACATTAGCCACAATGGCGTAATTTTTTTAATAATTTGCTATATAATTACTATTATTTTTGGACATTCAGTGGATATTGGGATGTTCAGTAGATATCCAAAGGATTTGGTGTGTTGTCTGGGTGCCTTTTATACTAAATCGTTAGAAAATGATTTGTGTGATGGATGAGCGATTAATTTGTCGGGTAGTTGATTACGTTTCGGAAAAAAAAGGAAGGTTATTTTCGAAATTTTTTTTTATTCATTACTTAGGTAATATAGGTGGCTTGCTTACGTATTTGTATTTTTTAGATCAGTTATGAACGTTTTATGAGAGAGTACAAGCATAATTGATGTCTCAAAAGAAACAAAATTCATAGCACCTTATATAATTAAAATTCGGAAAAAAGGTAGGTAAGTGTTTTGAAATGAAACTAAGCTGCATACACGTTCTTGTAGATATCACTATACTATGTAAACAGAAAAGATTCAGTTTTATAAAAGACACAACTATTATTTTTTTTAAATAAAAATTAGGTTTATCTGCAGTCATAAAATCGTCGGGTACATAGCAAACTCAATAAAGAACGTTTTATTATATATTCTTTATTTTTTATTATGATAGAATATATAATACACATTACAGACCAATATACATCAATTTTAACAATTTTGATAGGTAATTATTGACGAACGTTTTCTAAAATTTCTACACTTTTCTCGCAGGACTTTGTCAATACCTTCAATCGATTTTCTTTGAATGGCTTCGTATGGTTTTGAGGGATATATTTCTTCTGCTGTTTTGCTGATACAATTTTTTATGGAGGGTACATTCCATTTACAAGCTGTAACTAATTTATTATAATTCCCAAAAAAGTGTTGCAATGTGATAGCATTTGATTTCTCTATCGCAAACACAAGATGCTGAGATAATGTAACTTACCACGAGCCGCCACTGTCCCATTGTCTTAACATATGGTTTTAAAACTTTTCAAATAATTTGCAAACGGACTCTTGCGATATGAATCTCATTGGCGTGCACTTTACAAGCTCTGGTAGTTGACCAACCGTTGTTTAGCCATGTTGTTCGGGAAAAGATTCACAAACCACGTAAGTTGTACCTCTCAGCAATTTTTTCCTTATCAGCCGCTATCCCAATTTTTCCACTTGAAGACTGTATGCTGTTGCCTTCTAACTTAGCGAATACTGCAAACAAAAAAATTACACGAGGCAGCTAACAAAATTCTGAAAAATTACAATAATATATAGTTCATTTGTTTTTCTTGTGACCTCTCATCTAGTCATTGAACTTTTTTCCAGAAGCGGTACTATTAACGGTTTCCCAGATATGACCCGATTCCATTCTTATTGGGTCACCATGTACAACATAATTCTTGAACAACCTAATTATGTCCCAACACTTTGACAGAAAGAGACGTGTAAAAATAGGAAATTTTACATAATATTCAATAATGAAAAAATGACTCATAAATAGTTTTTGGTAACCAAAACACTCGGACACCTGGCTGGTTGACTATACTCTGTTTTTAAACTAAGAGGAGCGATTTGAATTTAAGTTGGCAATTCTGTAGCCTTCTGATTGGTCAGATTACAGTCAGTTTCACACATTACTTTTTAGCATGAACATCAGCTAATAATTGATGTTGTTGACAGTTCTGACATTTTATAATTTGATATCAATCCATTACTTGGTTTTTTACTTTATTTCGTAAATAATAGTTCTTCAGTAAACAATTGTATTGAAAATCTACAATTATGGATTCTTCTACACTGAGTACTATTAAAGGTAGCAATTCCTGAAAGGCCTTACAAGAAAGGGAAGACACATTATTTTACATGCTGATTCTGAAGGTTTTGTAGAAAATGCATTATTGGTTTTTGAAGGTAAAAAGATGGGAGATTACCATGAAGAGATGAATTCCGAAGTATTTTAGAAAAAAATAATTTTATTACCGATTTTTTAAAACTAAAAATTGATGAATTTCTAACCAAAATGATTAAAATATAACTAAATATTCAAGCAAATTTTATTTATTAGAATAGAATAAAACTATTTACAAAATTGTTATAACATTTAAAACAACATCTACTACTTTAGGGTTAATCTTAATTTGGCACAATAACATTACTTTCACAAAAAAATATTTTAAAAATACCTAAAATTTATACATAGGTATGTATGAATAGTTCACTTTAAAAAATATATGTTGACATGTAGTGTTATGAAAATGTTGGTTCCAGTTTTTAAAACAAATTCTGACTCATAGGCCTGTAAACTTTTGAATGCCTTTATTTGCCCTCTAGCGCATTAACCATGGGTTAACACTAAATAAGCCATAATATCCACATTACTCATAGAAGAGATACCAGTTACTTTGTGATCCACTTGTCATTCACTGATTAACTTTTACTTTTTATACCTATAACAAATTATCCTTAAAAATGTAAACAGATCTTTATATTTTATACTAACCTGGCTACATCTGGATATGCTATTAACAATTTTCTTAAATATTTCATATCCATTTTAAAAAGATCATAGTTATTCTCAAAAAGTCGATTTCAAAAGCAAGAAAAAAGTATTTCTGACATCAATCAACAACCATATTGACTTTAATTTGACAGTGACATTTCGTTTTAGACACAAATTTCAGATCAAAATAATGTGAAATTTGCGACCGTTGTCTGGGACCAATTAAAAAATTACTTCTATGACATTTATTCGTTTCTTAACCGCTCATTGGCCGTTCGCCGACTAAGGCCGATAAAGATATTATTTCATAAATTTTGAACACGACTATATTTCGAAACTCGCTCTTAGTAACAAATCTAGTTACTTTTCCCTGTGTAAATGCGTCTTTTCAATTCGCTCCTCCTAGTTTAAAAACAGATGAGTATACCCAGTCAGCACCAGATATTCTTGGAACATTCCTACAGTGTCCCTAGAAGAATATATATATTCCGAATATATTAAGAATATTCCTGGAATATATATGAGCTGGTGGATAAATCTATGAATATTAGTTTTAGAT